TGGGCTATAATCTACTTTTGGGTTACACAAGTGCGCAAATGCCTACTTGATAGGTAACTATTATTGTGGAATTTGTAAATGATTTTGTTGCATTTATGCATTCATGTATATGAAAAATCTTTGAAAAATAGCTGCCCAAAAAATGTCAGGATGCGAGACAGCACGCGACCATTCACCCTGCATTTGCATCTCCCATTGAGGATACCCAAGTACCCATGTATCCATGTACCCAGGTGTCCCCCACAGAAGCCGATCCGCTGATCCAATGGCCAGCACAAGAGAATCGGCTCCTGCCACCGCATGTGTCCCATTGTGATCGTGTTCGGCTTGGGTCCCACTTTTGACCGCCGATCCGTACAAGAGCGGAAGCGTGAAGTTGGCAAAAAACATGGGCCTATAATACAGATACAGATACAATAACAATAACGAATACAAATACAAATTCAAATCTGTTTTGCCAGTGCCCGGTCCAGTTGGCTATAAATTTTATGCATTTTGCGCATAGTTTGCCATTTTGCCACTTTAACATTATTGTTATGATGATAAGCGACCCACAGAGTCGGAGGCATGGGGCAGGAACTAAAAAAAGTGAAAAAGCAACACAAATGTAGCCTGGCCCAGGGAGAGATGTCTTCAGACCCAGGTCTTGTGGTCAGGAGTCCTCTGCAACCTCGGTCCCGCCTCTTTTGGCGTCCAAGTGTCCAACTGTCTGGCCATAGCGCATCCTGCCTTCTGCACTGAGAATAAAAAAAAAAAAAGAAGGAATTTCCACGTACATATTTGTCTTCAAACAGCATTCTTTAAGAGTGGCATAAGTCAACTATTTCATGGAAAAATATGCTATATTTGATTAAAAATGTTCTGCAAATTTTCTGGTATTTCCAGTCAGCAAAGCCTGCAAATTTTTCTGAGTGCCTTGTGGTCCGTCTGGAGCTGTTTGCTGATCCCCAGTGCGATCTCCGTCTTGTTTGGCTTTCCTCCGTATTTAAAACCATTTCATTTTCTGGGGGCCAAAGTGTGAATATAATTTAATGTGTACGAGTGAGTCGCAGTCCTGCAGTTTGCCTGCCCGACTGGCTATCTGTGCATCTTTTCTGGATGCGAGGCGATTTTCAGTATCGCAGCTTGTCCCTGCTGCAGTGCGATTATTTATTGTGCTTGATTGGTTTTCAAGTGATCATAAAGTAAGTGATCGTTGGCGCTGTCCGCTGGCATTGAGTGGCCCCATCTCCGGCGTTAATATGTAGATTTGGAGGCGTAGATTTATGTCCAGCGGGGCGGAGTGGGAGATGGAGTGATGTTTGGCTTGGGATCAACTCCTTCGAGTGGGCGATCGGAGGATTGCATTTTGGAGACGGCTTCATCTGCTTGGAATCCAGGAACTGCAGTCCAGTCATCTGCATCCTGCTCGAACTCCCCAAAGTGGCCTCCAACATTTTAACATTTAATTGACATTGATGATTGCCCCACTGGACAACTCCGAGAACACGTTCCCAGGTAGCGAGTCCGTCTGAGTGTGCCCGGCATACGAAAACTACCAGGGAATTATTAATTTAATTTTCATATCGCAGCTGAGCTATTCGCATACTTCAGCTGTGCTCGCCATCAACTTGGACTCGACATGGACATGAAGAAGACGTACGAAATAAATTCTGTGGCACTTGCAGACAGCCAGCAGACAAGGCCATGGGTGTGCACAGCAGCGGACGAACATTTGGGACGATGGTTCATAGTAAGGGCCATAAGATTGCAGTTGGACCTTCTAAAAGCCAAATTAAATAATCTGTGAGGCAAACAGATTACAAAAAACCATTGACGCGTGTCTCTACTATTATATACCCAATACACATCATAAAGTTGTTAGGAAGAGGTACTTATCCACTTATAGCTTATAAGCAAACGCCGTTTAAAATATTCTTAACAGAGCTTCTACCATGTCCGCACTTCATTTGCACCTCAGCAAGTGCATTACTTAGCTGCGCAATCTGTTGGCAAATAGTCTTTGGGGGAATTTCTCTTTCTTGCTGGAAATCGTTGCGTTGCTGGGCGTAATCATTCAAAGTTTCTCTATTGGGTTAAAAGAGTTAAGTGTCTGAATTCAAAACCAACTCATTGGTGCTGGCTTTCGGATGGATTTTGTTTGGTTTTCCGTTCAGCTTGGCTTTCTTCGCGCCGTTGTTGGTTGTGTGTTTTGTTTTCGCTTCTTTAAATGAACGTTATTAAGCAGATCTTTATCGCCGAGTGATTTATTCATTAAAAAAACATTTATTAGCTAGAAACAAGACGGCGTGTGTGCGTGTATTCAGCTCAACTCACACCCCAATCGCCCATATTCACATTCACATTTGTCCATATGGCCTGGTTCGCCTCACCGCCTCATTTGTGGCGCATTAAAATGCAAAAGCGCGTTTGTTCCTGGAAAAACTGCAAAGCCCCTCTGCCTTTTGGTTTCTTTCCATATGAAATTGCGGGTGTGGACTCAACTGCCGGCTGCTGAGGCGTGCGGCTTGTTTTATGAACTTGCATATTTTCACAATTTTCCTCGCTTCTGTTCCACGGCGTTTGAGCGTGCGTTTTAATCACTTAATTAGAGAGCCACTTAATTGACTTGGGCTCTTGCGAATTATGCAAATAATCGATGTGCGATGTGCGATGTGCGAGTGTTGCAGGAAATGGGCCTCTGGTGGTCGAGTTCGTGTCTTAAGTCTTTTGTCTTTTGTTCTGCGGTGCCTTGCGGGGAAGTTGAAAGGTGGAGTTTTTCCAATACGAAAACTTTTGTTATACAAATCATTGCACAGAAATATTCATGCGACATATTTAAATGGAAAATGTATTTAATTGCTGAGGTATATGTGAGATCATAGATTCCTCAATCAATTTGTTTGATTTGAATAGCTAAGTCAATGGTAGCAAGAAGCAGTTTCAAAACATCTTAGCTGAGATAAGAGCAAGCTGCCATTAAGATATCGGTTGTATATTTTACTGGCTGCACACCTTTCAAAACATAGGTGTGATTTTATTTCCTAGTTAAGTTCATCTGGTTACAACTTAACTGATTTTGATTGCCCTCCCATGTTCCCGTTTAACCCGTTCTCGTGGGGCACAATTAGCGAACGGAGCCATTCATTAGCCCCAATGCCTTTCCTCCTGAAAAACCTGTTGATGAGCTGAACCTGATGGCATTGCCCGATTTCCCCAGTTTTGATTACATGTCCCATGTCCACCGTGGCCATTTAAAGAGGGACACGCCCATTGAATTGAAGTGGAGTGCAGTGGGAAATCGCCGCCACAATGCAGACATTTCAATTAGCATTTGGCTAAACATAAGGCAAACAATCTGGCCAATTTCCAGTCAATGATGCCAATAAAATGGAACCAGCCGAGTTGCAGATGGTAGCATAAATACTTGTTAGTCGCCCATACTCGTATTTTGTTAATCACTCTCCACTCCCAATGCTTTCAATCCAACTATAAAAACCTGGCTAGGTGGCTTCTTCTGGCCTTTTGGTGTCATAAGGAAGCGTCCAAATGATTCATAATTTATGCCTGCACGTCGTTGGCCATGGCCATTGCCATTGCCGTTCCCCATGCCCCATTCTCGCGCCCATTCCTATTCCCAATCCTATTCGATGCTTTCGTTACTTAATTTCTTCAACTTAACGCGTTGGCTTGTGCCCGTTGGCCTGGCTTTCCCATTCCTTCAATCAGCTGTAATTCTAATGCATTTCGGGCTTACACAAAAAGAAAGCATCACTTGTTTAAAGAAGATATGTATAATATGCAAACAAGATAACAATTTGAATTGGAAATAACTATTCTAGTTATTTGTATAATTTTTTACTTAATTTTTATTAAGATTTAAATCATATTTTTCACTGTGTAAAAAGTGCGTGGTCGTCGACGCATTGGCTGTCGCTTGTCTGGTGCGATGATAGTTGAAAAAATTACTTACAAATTACATGCGTAGCTTATGCCCCCCCTCGCACCCTGCCGCCTTCAGCTGGCTTAATGCGCAGGAAAATGCAGGAAAACTCGGGGTGAGGAAATGGGCTGTGGGGTATTAGTGTTGTGGGTCTCGTGGCCGGATCGTAAATTGCATTTTCCAATTGAATTCTGAGCTTTGAGCACTGACAGTCCGCCGAGGTCGGCGGAACAGCCGCGGAATACCCTAGAATAAAAATGGTTGGCCACGAGAAGCAACCATTTCCCAGAACTTTGGCCTGGTTAATTTCCCATCGTTATGGCAAAGTGACGGGCTCATTAGCATATAAATATTGTTGTAATTACGCCTGGTAAATAATGCAATTTTGCCATTTTATAGACCATGCCTGTGCTAAATTAAAATTATTATAATTGAGTTAAGCGAATGGAGGGCGAGTGGCAGGTCTTAGTGGGTAATTTCGCATGGCTTAAAATGCAGCACGGAACATGGCCATAAAGTGTATCTGCGTTTAGCTTAAACAAGTCGACAATTTAAAAAGCCAATTTGCGCATAATACGGCGAACGTGAGCGAAAATTCAAAACAGAACTGCACACGCACAGAGGCGCAGAATAAATAAGCTGAAATCCGAGTGCAGGTAGCGTGTTGTGCAAATTTCTACGCAAATGACCATTAATGCAAATGCTGTTTGCTCATTAAGGAAACATTGCCCGCCCACCAAAATGACCCAAATTCTCTTGCCATTCGGAATGGGTGGGTTCTTTAAATACAATCAAACATGGATCAAAATGGGGATTACTTTTATGAAAATTTATTTGTTTTATATTTATGCCTTTTTTTTTAATCAATATCCACTTTCAATAATCTGGATTCTTAAACAGATATTAGCGCATATTTTTATAGTCTGTATTTTTTCTTTACAATATTATCATATTAAGTTTACTTTATTCATAAAAAATACATAAAATATAAAAATAAGTTAAATATCTTAGCATTCGCGTTAGTCAACACTGCCACGAACTTTGGCGCACAGCCATGCCTCGATCTGGCAGCACTGTTTTAATTCCAGGAAAACGATCTTCTTCTTCACATTCCAGAACTTTGAAAAGAAGCGCTGGCCAAACCGATTTTCCTGCAAAATAAGCAAATTTGAATGGAAAACATGGGACGCCGACGTGCCAGGATGCCTATTTTCACGATCGGCGACTTTGTGTTCGCTAAGGTGCGCGGGTATCGCGCCTGGCCAGCCCGCATCCTGAACCGCGTCGGTGCTACGGCATACAATGTGTACTTCTACGGAACCTGCAATTACGCCAAAGTGCCTCGCAACGAAGTTGTCGACTTCGAGAAGAACCAGCGTCGATTGGGAGTGATCCGGGCGAAGGGATACAACTGCAATCCAACTTTCCGGGGCGCCATGATGCACGCCCGCCAAGCATTCGCAAATCCCGACGAGGATTTCGGGTACTACCAGCAGTTGGCTGTGGAAAACGGCGATTGCGTCGACGCCGAGGACCTGGAACTGGAGTACATGGTTACCGAAGATGGAAGCAACCTACAGCAGGAGCATGATGCCAACGAACAGGTTGCGGTGGATCAGGATGAGGAGGTAAATTCATTGGAGCAGGTCTTCAGCAATCAGATGAATGAGCCGGATTCAGAGGAGCCTGCTTTAGATTGTCAACTAGAGGAACAGGAAGCATCACAGTCGATGGTGCTGAAGAAGCAGGTCTCCGAACCGTATTACTCGATGGCTGAGTTAGTTTCTCTGAAATCGAAGAAATTAGATACGCTGGAAAAGCGTGCCAATCGGAAATCAAAGATGTCAGTTCCAAAAGATCAGTTGAAGCAGGCAAAATCTCAGTTAGTGGAACAGGTTCCAGAACAGCAGGACTCAACGGAGTTCCTGGAGCATTCAAAGCCCCAGTTGCAAAGTGTGAATACTAAGAAAGAGGACTGCAATTTGCAGGAGATTATTTCAAAAGATTTGCTCAAGCAGGTGGATGATCTAATGAAAATGCTCGAGGACATTGAAGATTACACACGTAAGGAAGAGGCTCAAGATCTGGAGGAGCTGAAAGTGGAGGAGATTTACTATATGGATACGCCCATTGATATGTCCTGCCAACGCCATCGCTAATATAAATGTAAAGAGATGCGTTCTACAAACTACTACAAAATAATTTTTTCGCATACATCCTACTGAAACATGCCTAGATTAAAGAAAGTAAGTGAAATGTCCTAATTATGTTCAAATTATGTCGCACCCTTATGAATTAATTACTGACCATTTATAAACTAAATCTTTAACGTTAGATGGGAACTATGTACCACACATTTTATTTTCTTAACATACAAAGACGTAAAAAGAGTTTTGACAAAGCCTTAAATACATTGATTTCTTCGATATATAAAATTGATTATTGTAGTAAATTTGACTCTGGATACACAAGTTGATAACTTATGCAACATGTTAATTACGGATAAAATACAAATTTATAATTTGTAAGTTTTTATACCCGTTACTCGTGAAGTAAAAGGGTATACTAGATTAGTTGAAAAGTATATAACAGACAGAAGGAAACGTAAAGTATATATATTCTTGGTCAGGATCAATAGCCGAGTCAATCTGGCCATGTCCGACTGTCCGTCGGCATTCTATCTTGTTTTTAAATGTTATCAGCAATTAACAAAGGCTAATATTATAATTAATCCAAACGTACTCAGATTTATCGAAATTAAACTCAATATTTTGTTTTCAACCGAAATTAAAGCTTATAAACATCAACTTGAGTTGTTTAAGGTAGATGAGCAAAATCGAAGTAATGGAAATTTAAGAACTCCCTTTTTAGGACGCAGCATGATTTGACTTAACCGAAACGGATCTTACGAATTGGCGGGCCATTAAGAAGGCGTGGGCGTGCCTCTGGCCATAATGGTTGTTGCGTGAGCCTCCACTGCTGACCTCACATCATCCAGGCTAGTCGCTAATCGAAGCTCGACTCGGGACACGTTTCCGCATTAAATGCTGCACCATCAGCATGGGGAGCTCACCCATCAAGGCAGCCACCCCAGGGATGAGTCTCCCCAGTGGTGTTTGCTGGATAGTTTAGCTAAATGCCGTCGTAAAAGAACGCCGGCCGTTAAACCAACAAGCCGGGCAGCAGAATCAACATCAACAGATTCCCACCCTACTTTCGGCAGATTTAATTGGACAATGCAGCAACTGGAAGAGGAGGAGGGCCATGAGCAGGAGCAGGAGTTGCGAGAGGATTACCAGAACTTTCTGGACGGAGTGCAAGCTGCGATGAGGATGCTTCGATTAACAAATTATCGCCACCGCAGCAAATTAATCGCAGCAGCAGCCTGGCATCTGTAGAACCAAGCACGGGAATCCGAATCTGGGTTAACGAGAGGACGACCGATGACCACAAATCAGATTCACTAACCCGGCAATGAGATTTCCCGACCGCATCAATTTCTTTTAATGCCAGAAATGCCTTTTCGCTGCTCCAACAGATTGCACCAGCTGGCCGAGCGAAACGCCAGGAGCTGCATCCGAAGCTGGATGTGCACTGAGGGAAATGAGGGTGGGGTAGATGGGGTAATTTCTTATCGTTCGATTTATTGCAATGCGATATTTATATTATATTAATATCAAATGCTCTGATCAATCAAAGAAGATTGATTTCAGAAGACTGAAATACCTTCATAGACTGCGTTTTTAATCATATCATATGCATCATATTTTTCCGAGTGCCAGAGGTGCCGCTGCAAGATCCCTTGGTGGCTCCAGCATCCTTGCTCCGTTCGACAGCTGTCTGCTGGGGGGTTAATCGTTGTCCTGCGCTGCTCTGCGGTCTGGACCAGATTGTTAAGTAGTCCTCCATGCGATATGCATATGGAGGTCTGGGATGGGGTGCTCCTTGGCCTGAACATGCATACCTCATTGCCGACAATCCCTGTCCTGGGCCGTAAAATGTCAAATTAATGTTACAACATGTCCAACGATTTCTGATGGCATTTGACAATGCCGAGTGGAAATTCCTGCAGGTGACGCAATTTCCCTGTAATTTGTTTGGCCGCACGTACCGTCGCCCTGACATGGGGCATTGTCAGCTCGTTTGTGCCTGCCCAGCATAAACAAAAAACCCAACCAAACCAAACCGAACCGAACCAAGGCGATCTGATCCAAAACGCGCCCAGGGACCTGCAGCCCTATTGGAGTGTGGAGTGCGGAGTGTGGAGTGTGGAGTACGGAGTGTGTGGTTAGGCGGTTATTGGATGGCTGGTACTTGATAGTTGGTTATTGGTAGGTGTCAATGTGTGGGCATGTCGCACACGTGTGCCGCTCCTGCCCTGGGGCCATAAATTCACTTAGTTTATTTGCTGCCTCGGCTTCTGTGTCCACTTGGCCAGACACTCCGACACCCGGTTGGCCATCCAGTCCACATCCATGCCCAGTTCGGCGGAAATTTGTGAAGGAAATCAAATTAAAATTTCGCTAATTTATCAGCCGCTCGGAAATCGTGAGTCCACTTGGGTGCCAGGGGGCGCTAATTGGCAAGCCATTCGCATATCGGTGTTGGCGGCTTGGCTTTCATGGCTTTATTCGTTGGCTTTATTTTAATCTAGGGAAACAGCATTTTATACACAAATTTCTACAGGAACTTCTAAGAAGAGTGAAATATATCCTTGACATTATCTTTTAAAATTTAACATGTTTTCAATCTACATCTTTGTAAATACTCTTTTAAATAATAAATTTCTGTCTTACGAAAAATCCTTTAAGTCCTTTTTGAAACCATAAACCGTAAAGATTTAAGTTGAGTATACTATTCAACTTAAGACTTTTCGAAGTAAATTGAATTTACAAGTTGTATCCAAATTTTGTTTTTTTACTTAGAGATAGATAGCGGCAGCACTGTTATTTTAGACCAACAAAATAAAGAAACAGAAGGCCTGGCAAAGGAAATGACGCGGGGTGGTGAGCAATTTTTGCATTTTATCGAAACGACTTCATCAGCCAGTCGGTCTGGAAAGGTCTGGCCTGGCCAGGTCGGCAGTTCGAGGTCCGAAACAAAGGCATTCTAATTAAAATTCCCATGTGTCAGAAATGTTATTTATTCCCTTGCCAAGCCAAGTGCATCAATCAAACTTTTGCACAACCAGCAATTAATTTATTTTTTTTTCGCCAGGCATTTATTTGGTAGAGAAGGGTGTGAAGGGGGAGAGGTTGGGACTCGATATTATTGGCAGATCCGTTAAAATCAAATTGCCTCATCGTTAACACCCGAAAGTGGTTGGGAATCTGAAATTGGGACGGAATGGGAGGATTGGAATCGCGCGTTAATCGATGACTGATTGAGCATATGAAAGCTACACTCGACAGCACAACAGGGGTTCAAGATTTCAGGCCTATGAAGTGCAGTGACTTCATATCCTTTGAATAGCAATATGGAATCCCTAGCCTTTTGTTTGACTAGTGTTCTCACTCTATTAAAACGATTATGATAGGCCAGATCAACCCCTGTTTTTGAATCATTTTGGTGTCGAGCTTGTTGAGCATTCAGGGAGCACATGTTATTATTTGTTTTTGATGAAGTGGTTGATTACAATCGACCCTCCCCGATCATTTTCAGCCACCCTTGATTGCCCTTCAGCTGTGGTTACAATTTGACTTGCCGTCAGATTGGAAAAGAAATTTGGGTTATATGAACCAGGAGTCACATGGATGACTTTGAGTTAATAGGGTTTTGAGATGGGAGACAATTTTGAATAAATATTTAAATTTATTTACATTATTAAAGATACTAGTCGGTCTGGATATTAAAGACAATTATTGACTCATATAGTAATATTTCGGAACACACAAATAATAATAAAAATCTGTAAAGTAATTATTGAAACTAAAAGAAATTAGTGTAAGACTTACTCTTGAAAACTTTTTTTGTTAAATATCATTTTATATTGGATGAATACCAATAAAGTTCCATTTTATTACATAGAAAAATATAATTAAATCCATTTAAAGCGCCCGCCTGATCTAAAATTTCGATTGAGTAAAGCTCATAAAATGGATTTTATGGCTTTTGGCTTGTGGGTCAGCAGGTGAAAATCGACCATCGAGGTGGGTCACCTCGTCACCCACAGCTCGCATAATTGGCCCATGTCGAACATTTGGTAATACGCGATGGAAGGGCTCCAAGTTGGCAAGAGAGAAGACATCATCGGCATCGATTCAATATGCAAAGCAACGTCGCATTTTAATCGCCTCAGTGGGTGGCATTCTCATTGGGAACAGCGAACACAGGCACACTAATGGAAACTTACGTCGCTTTTTAATTGATTTGTGCCAAAAGTTTTATAGGTTTTTAAAACCGTCCAAAACAAATAGCAGCGATTGTTGGCCGGTTGTTGGCCAAACGCAATCGCAGATCCAACAAATTCGAAACGACCCCCCGCCGGAGGAGCGAACCTAATTATGGAACGCCAGAAATGGCAAATTAGCATAAAATTTAGCAACATTAAAAATGATAGTTTATTATGCTCGATTGTCGTGTGTGCTCCTTTTTATTGTTGCTCTGTGACTAAATTGATTAATGAGCTCATTTAATAGCTGCGTCCGCTTATGGAGATATTTTTATGACACTTGAAAAATTATGACGGGCATTTTTCCGCCTTCAATTTCAACAATTTTTGTTTACCGTTCGCCACAAGTTGCACAATTTTGGCCGCTCACAGTGAAAGTGGTCGATGGTGGAGCGGGGGCAGGGGGAATCATTAAGTTTTGGCCATAAAAATAAATTCGGGGCTGGGCGGATTAAGCGAGTTATGGCCTGGTGTTAAGGTGTTGGCGGCACATTTCTTTCACGGACTTTTGAGTGGGGCGGTTTTTTGGTCGATTTTAATGGGACCATTAAATGCAAAATTTTGATTTATCTGGCTTCGGCCATTCAGATGCTAATAATGGCGATAGAATGACGTAGTATTGTTCGTCAGTTTATGGTGGTTATTCCCAATTTTTATAGATCTTTTTGTGACCAAATGTGGGGGAATTTCTGAACACTCGGATCTTTTCTTCTATTTACTCACTACAGAGATATTTTACTTTAGTTACATAAATAGCTTTCTCCCTTGTACTTTCTTTATATTGCGAGTTATTTCAAATAATAATAAAATACAATTTCAGGATGGCAATCAGGATGTTTCAGTCAAATCTTACTAATTTCTATCTGTCAGTCCTGTCAAAACTGAAATATTTATTCAACTTGAGAAAATCGGTTGGAACTGTACAGTCCTGAAAATGTCTTGGAACGCTTTGATTACGGCGAACCAAAGATTGCCCTTCCGGGAGGGCAAGGACAGCGACTATTTCCAATCCTATTCGCGCTTGGAGACCCACATGAACATGCTGAGGGACTCGGTACGCACGGAGGCTTTTCGCGATGCCATCCTCCAGAGCCGGGAGCTGTTCCGGGACAAGATCGTCTTGGATGTGGGCTGTGGCACGGGCATACTATCCCTTTTTGCCGCCGAAGCCGGAGCCAGCAAAGTTCTAGCCGTGGAAAGCACCGACATAGCGGATATAGCCGAGGAAATAGTAAGGGACAATCAGAAGGAGGATGTGGTGAAGGTGGTCAAGGGATTGGTGGAGCAGGTGGAGCTGCCCGACGGCATTGAGAAGGTGGACATCATAATCTCCGAGTGGATGGGGTAAGGTGTATTACCTTCTTAATGGTGCTTTTAAGGGACTGGTTTCTTACACTATCAGAAATGCTCTCTATATGGAGGCCATGATAAACTCCGTGCTGTTTGCCCGGGATAAGTGGCTTACCCGTGGTGGGCTAATCCTGCCCAGCGCTGGAAACCTCTGGGTAATCGGAGCCCATGATCCGCATCGGCTGGCCAATCTCAACTTTTGGCGCAACGTGGAGGGCATCGATATGAGCTGTGTGAGGAAGCCATTCTCCCAGGAGCCCTTGGTGGAGTGTGTGCCCATCCAGCAGCTGCTAACCGACGAGTGCTTCATACACTCCACCCACCTGACTGTGGCCCCCAATCTGCCAGTGGACTTTCGATCGAACTTTCAGTTGAAAGTCAAGCGAACTGGAATTATCAATATGCTGGTCCTCTATTTTGATGTGCGGTTTCCGGCGGGCAACTCGGAAGAAGCCGTCACCCTGTCCACCTCGCCGCATTCGCCATGGACCCACTGGGAGCAGACGGTGCTCCATCTGGACGATCCACTGTATGTGAGGACCAAGGATCGGGTGCGCGGAGTGCTGGCCATGACGCCCACTGGAGAAGATGGTCGCTGCATGAACATTGACCTGCACATCAGCTTCCGTGGCGATAGAACGCGAGTGGAGAGCTTCAAGTGCTTCTGCTCAGCGAGTTGAACTTGGAATCCACTTGGAATTTAGAAATATAAAAATGTTGAACCATAAAATGGGTCGTTAATCGAGGGCCTCCAATTGCCCAAGGGTTGGGTTTTTTTCTTTCAGTGGACAATCAATCCACGGCGAGGCTTAGAAAGTGGACAGCCGAAATGTTAACGACTTTTCTAACAAATTAATTTCAAAGCCAGGTCATTGCCGAGGGCAGAATGTGAAAATGTGTCCCTCTCCGCCTCTAATTAATTGATGGCCCCTCGTATAAATTTGTGAAAGCCAACGCCGTGGGCCCACAATGAACGCCTTTTATGCGTTTATAACTCTATTTACTATTTTAGCCATTTGCATTGTCTCGTCTCGTTTTTCGATGCTCGAGGTCTTCCCAATCTCGAGAGGTTGCCCAAAAAATCTCTTGTCAGCTCGTTTTGTGTTTGTGCACGGACCGGGCTTTGTTAATGGCAGTTCTTAAAAGGCCATAAAGTGGCTTTATGCGCCCATGAAATTAATATGCACACCATTATTGGACATGATTATAAAATATTGCTTATCTAGCGCGCACAAAAGCGCCACAAATGAGCCAGCGATCTTTGATTTTCGGTCAACACTTGTTCGCATCCCCCGCCGGAGATTTCGGTGGACATCCCGCTGGGCGCATTAACAAAGTCCCAGAAAAAACAGCACCCAGATGGATCCGATCCGATCCTCGCCAGTCAGCCAGTCAGCCAGTCAGCCAGCCAACCAGCCAACCAGCCAGTGTAGGCCCAGAAAACATTTCAATTTGTATCCCCCCATGACCAGGTCCTACTCCTCCTCGTTCGTGTTGCTTGGGTATCAAATTGCTGGCATTTGTCAACGGAGCGGGACACTGCACACCAAGTCACCTATAAATTAGAGACTCGTTAGACAGCTTAGCCCGGTGCCCAGATTTGGAGCGCGGAGTATCCTGTCGCTGCTCCCGCTGATAAGAAGGTCCGATCCCACAATTGGCTCATAACTAATTGGCGTCACTTGGATGGCGATAAGGGCTGGGAGCTGTGAGAAATGCCGGGCGATAATCTATTCGGAATTTATGGCGGCTGATTGGAGCGTGAAATGTGAAACCAGGATAATATGGGGTACAATTTCCAATTTAAAAAGATTTCACTTACCAAGCTACATTTAATAAAAGAATTTATATAGAATGTATTTTATGGACTAATTCATACGTCTTACTTACCAATTAAAGTAACCAATTGAAGTTTGTCAAAGTTTGACACGTAGAACGAGTTATAATATGAAATAGAAATCTTGAATAACTCCAACATGGATCTGGAGAAGAACCTTCTCAGGGCAATGGCGAAAAGCATGTTGAACGATGTCGTATCCACCAGAGCGTACGAATGGGTTTTCAGGCGATACGAAAGATTTTTCAAGGATAAGGTGAAGATAAGTATATTCTGCAAGAATTTATTTACATATGCCAGATTTTCAACAGATAGTCATAGACGTGGGCTGTCGCAGTGGATTACTCAGTCTGATGAGCGTGGAAGCGGGTGCCATCAAAGTCATGGCCCTGGGCAATATGGAAAGTGCTGAGTTTGTTAGGAAAGCTTTTAGCAACACTGAGAAGGAGGATATCTTCGAGTTTGTCGAGGGTGATATCCACGAGATAGTCCTGCCCAGCGGTCTGAAGAAGGTGGATATAATAGTGTCCGAGTGGGTAGGGTAAGTAGTTTTGACTTTCACTTATCAACTAAATTGAAAATATAATTGTTCACTCCACAGCCACTCTATTTTTGTGGAATCGCTCTTCAAGGAGGTGATATATGCCCGAGAAAAGTGGCTGGTTAAAGGTGGTCTCATCATACCCAATGTGGCTCATCTTTTTCTCTGCGGAATCGCGCAGCATCCGCGAGACTCCATCGAAGTGAATATCCTTCCCCAGACGGATTATCCTGGTCGCAGCTATATGGTCAGAGAACCCGTATCCCTGATGGAGGATTACGTTCCCAAGGAACAGATGATAACTGAAAAGTACCTTCTGAAAACCATCGATCTCCTCACAGCCCACATAAATGATGAGAGCTTCAGGGTCCCTTTTAGGCTACGTGGCTTGACGGACAGTCCACTTGGAGCCGTGGTTCTCTATTCAGATATAGGATTCTGCCGACCGAAGGGAAAGTTTAGACTCTTGTTTTCCACAGGTCCTAAGAGACCTCGCACCTATCTGAGGCAAACTATATTGTTTATGGATGATCCCGTCGCAGTGGCCAAGCGAGAGCTGGTTATCGGAGACCTTGGGATGTACTACAAGCCCGATCAGCATCGCGAAGTGGAGTACTCCTTCTCCTTCGCCAGTTCCAAAGTCGCGAATACAGGATCTGAGGAATCGGAGGAGCACGAGGACGTTTCTGGTACAGATTGCGACCAAGCGAATGACGTGGATTTGAGCGAAATAAAAGGGGGCTATTCTTGTTGATGTATTCATGGCAATCTCTGGACCCTCTGCAGCTGCAAGGGGAGCAGGCTGGGGATCGTTGGCCGATCAAAATTTATGGCCGTGCTGCATCAATTAGGGCGGCTGCTACCCAAAGACAATGGTTCTGGTTCTGGTTCTGGACAAGGGATCTGGCTGGTGATCGGCTCTGGGTCTGCCACCGATTCTGACTGACTTATTTTTTGTGTAAGCCCTCCTTTTGGCTGACCTGATCTGATCGGTGTTTAGCTTTGACGTTGGTACAACGATTTAAAATGATGTCGCGCATAATTCACCGATCGACCATCGACCATCGACCATCGAGCATCGAGCATCGAGGATCGACAATCGTCTTGCCAGACTGTGCGTCGTGATTTGGCTCTGGGGTTTGTTCCAACGGCCTCGTTTGCAGTGGGAGCTCTTTTGTTCTGATCTCATAACCGAACTCTGATCCCAGATCGCACTTGGTTAGCCCAGCGAAAGGAATCCGTTCGCGGATCTCGATTCTGATTCTCCCCGGCCATTCACATGCTTAAGTGACATTTCGTCTGCTGAATGTGCACTGCGGGAAAAAGGGTAGCTCGAGTGAGTGTTAGATTTTTAAATTTCCCTTAAAAAAATTTGTATGCACATACATGGAGACTGTCGACGTACATAATAACACGGTCCTATCAAAATAAATATTTACGACGGCCTTTTAGTGTGTGTTTTCCAGAGACTTTTGCTCAGTGTACTCAGTGGACTCTGGCTGAAAGCCCCGAGGCTTGATCTTGAGGGTTCGTGATGGATTAGCATCGTTTTGCCGTGAGGATAATGTGTCGTCCGCAATGATTTTGGTTGACAAGCGCGCTTTTTTCGGTTCGTTGTCTTTTCTGCCTGCGACCGTTTCTCGGAAATAATTATGCTACTTTTGCGCAAGAATAACAGCATTTTTGTACAAATTGCATAAAAATTTAAATTGCCCCGAGCGCTTGAACGGATTTTCGGTTTTTGTGTGCTGTTTGCTGCGAAATTGCTTAATAATGAAATGCCAATGGATTAAGCGCAATTTGTGCGGCATGTCCACTGATTGTCCCCGGGATTTTTATCTTTATCGCGTTCTTTTTTTGCTGCTCGACCAGGCCGAAACAATTGGCCAGTCCCGGCCCAGATCCACGGCAATCCTCGCCAGACCCATCATCACCAGTCTCATCATCACCATCAGCCTGAACACGTTCGATTTGCCGGGCTTTGCTTTTTTTACACCTAACAAGGTTGGAGTCCAGAAAAAGGGGGGGGGGGGGGGGGGGGGGGGAACAAAATCTGAAAACCTATAACTGCCTCTTTTTCTCGAGGCCTTGCAGCGTTTTCATTAAATTCGCTTAATAGCGCAATATAATTTAAACAAGTAGTAACATAAAATAAAACTCAGCCACGCACTGAAAGGCATAAAGATGAAGCAAATTACTCCGGACCGGAGCAGAACAGCCCAGAATTCAGACTCCTTGGGCCCGATGACGATGCCGACGACGCTATTCGGGAAGGGAAGTGGAGGGTTTTGGCCAAGAGTCTCAGTTGGCCAGTTATGGCGCATGGGCGAGACCTCTCCGTCGACCAGCAATGGCAATAAGTTCGCTTAACGAGGGTTTAATTTATGATTTGTTATGTTTCCGGTTCATGTTCTTGTTGCCTGCAAAATTATTGGCCATAAAGCCAAGGTGTGGATTATAGTGGCTGGCAGTGGTAGCCGGGCAAAGTCATTGGCAATCGAGCCATGGCGATTTGGGCGAAAAAAAAACAGAGGGGGAAAATGGTTGTCGGTAAATACATACGAGAACGGGCATTTCGATGAGGTCACCAGGGGGAGGCAAAGTTTAATGGGTCAGCATTATCCCATGATTCTTGGACAGTAGGCTATCAAATATCCTCTTCCCAGCAGTCAGTGATTAGTGATGCACCAATGCAACACGAATCTAAATAAATAAATACAAATTATTTATTTTATAAGCTCGTTCGTTCATTATGGCTCTAATCCATTTGGTAAACAAGTGACTTTAACAATTTGGTCTTGACCACTAATAGACCCTAATCCCTTCACGCTCACCGTGAATTTGTTGCCAAGGAGCCCAGGATAAGGCCGTCGAACGCATTGCGTTGAAAATCGATTTGTAGTTTTATTTCGTTCCATATTTTGCCCATGGCCCTTGGGTTGCGCCTGCGCAAACAACTCGCGATGCGATGCGGATAACCACGGATAAGAAAATAAGCAGAGACATGCGGAGACACCACGAAAAGGAGGTGGACCAGGAGGATCGGGAGGATCCCTGCCAAGTCGGTCCGTCGCTTGGTCCAAGCAACGCCAACGAGTATCTGGTGGAACATAAATTACGCGACTAACAAGCAGCGCCCCGTGCAGCTAAAAAAGATACAAAAAGCACAGGGAGAGGCGGATGAAAAAACACTTCGAACTTGGGAACTGAATTGTACAGCGAAAAAAATCGATCATTACTCGCATGCTGCTAAATTTCGATAGCAATTAAAGGGATTACACTAGTCGACAAAGTGAATGTGATTCAAAGTAAAAAACATTTCAGTTCATAACAGCAAACAATTGCGTTGGTACTTTTTAATATTAAATTGCAAAAAAAAATAAACATATATATTATTTAAAAAAACATTTTTTTGACCCAAAATTATTTTTTTAGGCAATACTTGAAGGTATACTCAAGTAGTGTTTTATTTCTATATTTACAATAATAAAGTTTTAAATATATAAATTCTAGAAAATGACACCGATTATTCGCAGTGCTCTTGAGCCTGGCCCTCTCAGTTCAGAGCTCTGGGCCAAAGTGAGTTGCACAAATTATAAATGAAAGCGGGTGTTGGAGTCCTCCTATTCAGGGGCCCTCATCCCGATTTCGGAACCCATCCCCACACTCACGATTAGGTGCAGCAATTTGGCCGTGGCTGTCTGTGATTGAGACCGAGGCAGTGCTCGAAACGAAGTTAAAAATCAAATTAGCGAATGTGTTGAAAATTAAAAACAAAACAACATAAATTGCATCTGCCAGATACGCAATTATTACGAGGGCCAAAGGACTTGGGGGCCCGCTGACTTATGGACTTGGTCAAGCCTGCGGTTCTGGCGAGCTGGAGTTCTGTGCTTCGCTTTCCCCCATGATTCTTGGGTGCCCGTGTATGCCGTGTATGCCGTGTATCTGTATCTGGACCCCTGCATCTGTATCTGCCCGCGAGGTGTTGCAATTTGACGTTTTTTACGCGAGTTCTTATTCCATGAAATCCACATGAATTTCACATGGCAGTGCAAATACTCGGCCTAAATGGGTCCCGATGTCCCGATGTCCCTGGTCCGTTGGCGGAAAACATGTCGAATTAACACGCTCTAAGGGGCAGCTGGACGAGTCGAGCCGAGTCGAGTTGAGTTGAGGTTGAGGTTCCCTTTTTTGTATATTTAAATGTTGGCAAATTAGCTGAAATTTCTTCTCGCAGTTCTCGCATGCATGTGTGTGCGTGTGTGTGAGACATATAATTACAGTGGAAATTTAGCCGGGCCTAAACTCCTGGCCAGCCGAAAAAATGTTGCTCAGCTGGCGCCGTGTCTGCGCAGAAGACGGCCAAATAAATCGCGCTGCTGTTGAACTTTTTATCTGTCTTTGGGGGGATGGAGAGCTGGGGTATGGGGCTTAAGCCAGAATGGCACTGCTGCCAGATCTGCCAGAGATGGAAGTCGGACACGCCTCCAGTTGTCCTGTTGGCCCGAACCTCTTTGCAGTCGTTGCCAACTTCTTCCTCCAGCCTTTTGGCCCTGAGCCTTCGCTGTGCTCTTCGGGGCCGTAAAAAAGGGCGCAAATTTTATGAGCGCATCGTTTAACAAATGAATTTACAACCGTGCAACGCCCAAATGTCTGGCGTTCAAATTCAAATTCCTGGCCACGCAACCAGCGGAAATCTTGGCCCTGCTCCAGGATGACTTACGTGGCACACGGAGGCGGATACACAGGTACAGAGCGAGAAAATGTGCTCACAGATACTCGTAGTAGGTGCATTTATTTTAGTTCAACTAAATGTATTTTGAAACATTATTCATCGCCTTTAGTATTTCGAAGGAAATGATTTCTGATAAGGATATAGGGGATGCTCACATTTTACAGCATACTTTAAGGAGCAGATTAAATTGTTTTCCAACATCTAGAGATTTCTGAAATATCCGTACATAACAAAGTGCCAAACCATGAACATTTAAAGCTTGATGATGAGCAAATAATTTAAAAAATTCACATGCATAAATTAATAGTTATTATTATAGAACCTTATTATAAAACCCTAATTAATCTTAAATATGTAGCACCTACCCAGTGATAAAGTTAGAAACCTTCGAAACCACATGTACACTTTTTCAACCTGTACTTACGTTCTGTAAAACAAGTATTCACCCAGGGACAAACCTATGAATAATACCTGGCTGGGATCCAGGTGACTTAAGGCAAATACGAAGTACAGGGAAGCGCAGCCAGGAGATCCATGGCCACATCGTTCTGCATCATCATTATCGTTGGTAAGAGGATCCATTGCGAGCTGCCCTCTTTACATTAACGCTTTCATTAGCCCAGTTTTCGCCTCGCCGGCCGCCCTTTTATCGAGGCTCCACTTTGTCGCCCATAAATCGAGGCTCGTTAAGTGCGCTTTAATGAGAATCCGGTGCACCTTGTTCCCTGGATTCCAACTTCTACGACGTGCTCGCTCGAGGGCCTGGTCAGCGTTTACAATTTGGTAATTGTCCCTGGCCTGTCAATAAGTTTTTATGGCCCGTCCCATAAAGGGAAAGCTCAGACCTCAGACCTCAGTTCTCAGATCTCAGATCTCAGATCTCAGGCTTTAGGTCTCAGGTCTCAGATCTCAGGTCTCAGCCCCAGCATCAGTTTTAGTTTCGGTTTCAGTGTGTGTCCCAGCTACTCGGCAATTACCGACACGATCGCAAATTGGGAGCACACGAGCCTGGTAAT